TACATATATACATATATATATACACGTACATATATACATATATATATACATGTACATACATACACACATATACATAGATAGATAGATGTAGGATGGGCCTAGTCTTCTTCCTGATAGCCAGTGATGAAGTAGTATTCACAATGTAAAAATACTCTTAATAGTCCTGCATTCATGTAATTTAAATAGGGTACAGTGAGAAATGTTACTTATGTTAAATGTGTACTTTCAACAAATGTTGAAAGTACACATTATGCAGAATGGCTCATTTCAGTACATATGTTGAAGATGTATTGTTAATTTAACGTGTAAGCAACATTTTTTGTAATATCTGATCTACGTGGGAGTACATAACTACTTTATGTATTGTTGTACTCTTAACATAAAGGACAACTACTACCCATTCAATTTGACATAAATATTAGAAGTAGGCCTACTTTTGTGATGCCCCCATCATCCGGTCCTTATAACCATGATCGGACCAAACTCCCCCCTTCATAAGACAAAAGAAATGTTTAAATGTATTGGCCTGTTTCCAACAGCAGGCATTTAAACTTACAGTATAATACGACAGCCGGGACCAAACAACATTACCGACATCTCCATTTATCTTAAGTGCCCCAACAAAACCTGCCCGTGAGTCAGCAGCCAGGGAAAAGGAGTATCAATAAAATAAATACTATTAACAATGTTAATCACACATTTACGTTCCCTTTTGTGACATGTCAAAATGTCTGACGTGAAAAGGGTCCATGACCATGGGATTTGTAAGAAACACAGAAATCGGTTTAAGTAATATTAGCGAGTGAGAAACTTGTACTAAAAACTTTATTCGGCGAAGGTCTTCATCTGTACAATGACCGGAAAAAAAATACAAACGGGGTTAAATTATTTTCACTATTACAAACTTGAGTAGATCATGAGATGTTTAAAAAAAAAAAAAAATGAGAGCCCGTTTCTGCAGCTTGAGACAGATTATGGTGGCATTGGTGCTCTCATAGGAACGCGTTGTGGGACACCGGGGGGCCTTGGAGGCATTGGAGGTCCTCTCTGGAAGCCAAAAGGAGGACGAGGAGGGAGGCCAGCGCCGTAGCCAGGGGGAGGCATGGGAGGAGGCCCTCTCATACCTGGAGGCCCAGGATGACCTGGGAAACAGAGAGGGCAAGAGGGTCATTACCTGATATATCTTTACCGTGGACTATTGACCAAAGGTTACCACAGTAAACAATGTTTCAGCATCCTAAACAACAATCATACGCCGAGGTTCAGCGTTATTGTGAATCACTGCTGTTCACACAACGAATTACTGTACATTATCTATTACATATTCCAGCTTTTTGCCTCTCCAATCTAGGAAACCAGATCCACGCAATTCCTCCATAACTTTTCTCCTCACAAATACATGGTTTTGTGTGGTGTCACATCCTCATTTCATGTCATATTCTCAATCATATCCTGAACTATTTCAGTTCGCTAGTATAGCTTGTGAAAGCCCTCAACCACCATTGGATGCAGATCAGGTATGCCTTTCCAACGATTATTAAATCGACCATTAAATCTATTTTGCTGCACAGTAAATATGTAGAAGTAAGGTTATCAGCTATAACCGAGGTAGCATTTCTAAGACGAAGACAATTTATTTTTACAACAAAGACTGGAGATGCCACAGCGCTTACCCATGGGAGGTCCATACGGCGCTCTGGGTGGCATGCCCATAGGCGGGGGTGGGGGCATGCCAGGTGGTAGCGGTGCCCGTGACTGGTTTGATCCTGGGGGAGCAGGAGGTGGAGGCACCATGCCAGGAGGACCAGGGGGGGGCATGGGCATCTGAGACATACCTGTGGAACAGAAACCATAACGTCTACAGGCGTGCGCCAGCAAGGAACTACTTTCATAGTTTTTTATAAACACCCATGACAGTATTGTCAGTATATTATTGCATAACATTTGAATCTTTAACGACTTTTACCTGGATGCATGTTGCCAGGGAAGGGTGGTGGTCCGGGGGGAGGCCCGCCGCCCTGTTGGCCTACCCCCGCATTAAGAGGCATGGACATTGAAGGGGGCATCGATCCAGGAGGAGGAACCGGAGGGAAACCTGGAGGTGGCATGCCTGCACAGAAAAAAAGTTGCATTTACAACTTATTATTGCATATTCCTCTGATACACAATGAATTGGTTAAATATTATAGTCATCTTGGCCATTGTTGTCATTTTTAAATGTCATTAGTATCTCATAAAAGGGGCTCATTTGTCAGCTGTCGTGTTCACTTTTAGTTACAGACATCACACAAGATTAAATCAAATTGATTTAATTATCACCTACTCATCGGTCGGAGAAGCACACCTACAGAGTTCTACTTTCATCTTGTCGCTGGTAATGAAACCGGTTATCTGCTCTCATGGCCGTCACCACAATCAACTACTCAATCTATAGCAATCAATCAGAGGCATCTGCTGTATATGGAATATGACAACACCATCTGTTACAGCTTTGGGGAAATAAGAAATATGTAAGAAAGTTTGCAGATGTTTAATAGACTTTCTTAAAGCCAACAGAGCCAGTGGTGCGATCGCCAGTTTGCTCGTGTACCAAACTACATTATATTCTCTTTGAGGCGCATGACCTGAAGTGATCATCTTTTAAGTTATTACGAATGGGATATTTCCTCATCTGCTGGCTGAAAATGTTCTGCATTGCACTTCCAACGGAGGTTAAACGATGAACTATTGAAAAGAGAACACCCGATATGTTTAACCACAGTTTTTCAGCCATACCGATGGGCATCCCGCTTCCCATTGCAGTTAGAACCGGCGTCGGAGCACTCGCCGGCGGTGGAGCATCTGCAAACAGCTGATGTGGCCTGTCTGCCTGAGAAAGAGGGTTTTGTGCAGCCAGGAGGCGCTCTGCGGCCGAGCCATGTCGTTCTCCTTTGGAGTCCTTCTTGAAGGCGTAGGACACTGTGATGGGCCTGTTACAGAGGTACTGGCCGTTCATGGCCTCAATCGCGGCATCTGATGCATCGAAGCTCGCAAAATTGATGAAAGCATAACCCTTGGAGTTGCCGGTGTCTGGGTCTCGCATGATCTTCGGCGTCTGGAGGATCACGCCAAAGGCACTGAATGTGTCGTAGAGCAGTTTCTCATCAATCTCCGGATCCAGATTACCAATGAATATGTTTGCACCCACATCCAGGTTTTTGTTGTGCGCAGAGGCCTTATTAACTCGAATGGGTTTGCCGTAGAGCTTTATCATATTCATGATTTTGATGGCATAGTCAGCATCTTCTTCACTAAGGAACTCCACAAAGCCATAACCTGGAAACCGAATGAGAAAATTAGCACCGTGATTTATTTTTACTGCAAATGTAATTTTAATAGAAATGGTAATGTTTCTTGAGTGACCACGACTATCTTCACAACAACCAGAGAACATCAGCTGCGATACTCACCTTGATGTTGACCAGTGACTCTGTCTTTTGGCATGTGCGTGTTGACCACAGGACCAGCCTGCAGGAAAAGCTCCCATAGTAATGGCTCTGACACTTTCTCATCCAAGCCGCCAACATACACAGTGGCGTCTGAAAAACAAAAAAGATGTTAAATTAAACCTCATATTGAATTATCTTAGATCTCCAGATTAGACCAAACTTAACATGGATTGGAGAGTTGTATTGGTAACCTGTGATGGAGACGTTTCATTCTCTTTCACATTTAATTGAGTTAATGATGAAGTAAAGCCCTTAAACACACGCACACTAGTCAACTTTATTATATGAAGTCACAAATAAAAGGGTGCCACAAAGAAACTCATTATGTCTGTAAGAGCAACTGTTAAAAGGACATTTTGTGGCTTTTCAATCCAAAAATATAGTTGAAGTAAAAATAAATAAATAACTTTCAATGCAGAATTAGTAGCTCCAATATTTTTTCTATGATGCCTAAATAAGGTGGCTTTTATAAAAAAAATTGTTGTATTAGAGGTAAATAATAAAGCCTTTTTATCTTTTATTTACAGCTCTAAAGAATAAATAATTATCTAACCTACCTGTTATTAATGTTATAAAAATAATAATTTATACAGACCCTATACCTTGCTTATCAAACACTGGGTAAAAGCGACATCCCAAATATAAGTGTAAAGATAACAAAGTGTGATCATGTGTTTAGCTCCTCAACATGACTAAAGCTAGGTTGCTAAGCTAACTTTAGCCGTTAGCCAACAGGAGGTACCTCTGCTTGTAATATGCTCACAGCTGTCATACTTCAAATTAATCAAACAGCAACGGTACACATTAGCTCTTATACAGAAAACGAGTATAATACACCAAAGTAAAGTTAAATAGAACTTCAATGAATGGCGAAAGTAGCGGCAAACCAAGCTAACAACTAAGCACTTCCATGTGATCGACCGGTTGTTTACCACGAACTATTTGTTTAACCGTCGTCTGGTGGCGTTCATAAAAACAAGGAGAGGAGTTTGAAGTGTGACCCACAAGCGGACTCATAAATGACTTGAAGGAAAGGCTGAAAAGGGGTTTACAATGATGTAGTTACCTTGGTTTCTCTCTGAAATTGGTCCCGCTGCCATGTTGAATGAACAACGCCAGACGAGCGTGAGCGTCCCTCGCTGAGGCCCCGCCTCTTCCTGTACGTGTGGCGGAGGCGGAAGTAGTACATTATAAATAAATAATATAACATATTTCTGCAATCGTTTTTAAGAATCTCGTTCTAACTGTATAAGCTATATAATATATAATTTAAAGTACAGAAAAAATAAAGTGACTACACACTTAAAGACATTGGTTGTAATATAAAAGGCTAATACCCTCTAATACCCATAGTGAGTCACTTTTACATCAAACCAAAGATTCTTTGTTATTTTTAACAGAACATACGAAAAATAACATATGTTTCAACTGCATCTCCACAACAAAGGCTAACATAATCCACACATGTGGACAAGTTCACAATTACTGCAAACTACCTTCAGCTAGATGCCCCATACTGTATTCATTATTTCAGTTGCAGTATAGTACAAACAAGAGAAAAATATTTGAAAAAGGAACCAGGAATTCATGAGCATTCATAATATTCAAAAAGCTTGCATTGTCTGGAACAATTGAAAAGATCCTCTTAATCTTTTTTTTCCAAGCCTTTTTTGAAGTATTTCAAATTACCTTCATAACAAACACATGTCTTGTCCAAATATGTATTAAATCACACTATACATACAATGTGTAAATGTAATCTTTGTGTAAAGCTACTTTTTCATTAGTGTAAATGACACACCAATAAACCAATACAAACAATTATCTATTTAGAGTTACTTGGTCCTAGTTGTGTACAACGCAGTAAAATAAGCAATATGACCAATTAATAAACATTTGTATGAACCATTTTATTACATCATATAAATCTACTAAAAGTATAAACATGGAATACAAAATGTTCATAGAAAATACATACAATAAGGGCCCTCAGAAACACTGTTATAAAACAATACTGTATAGAATACAAAACATATAAAAACATAAACGTAATCGACATATCATGCATCAAAGCCAAAAAATTAAAAGCCAAAGGTATTTTTAATAGAAGGGATAGCAAAAAAAATAGTTTAAAAAGCCTTAATATATAATGATCACAAAGAAAAGTCAAAAGCCTTTGTAAGAAGAGAACTCTGAGATTAATGGCTTGTGGTAACAATAAAAAAATAAAAATCACACACATAATAAGCATCTAACGTAGAAGAAAAATGCAAAAAAAACATACAAAAAAAACCACAAAACACAATTCAAGATCTCCAGCCCCATAATTGTATTTCAGCTTTTCAAATCTAACCAAATTGGATCATGGGACAATAAAAACACTGATGAGCGTAGAAAACGTATCTGCAGATGAGATTCTGGGAGCAGGAGCAGATAAAAGGGTTCAAGCTGCAGAATTGTGACGTCAAAGTGTTCATTGTATTCATTAAAAAGTCTATTTTAAATTTTCAGTATTTACTTAAGAGAGCTGCATGGTATTTTCCAAGAAGACGAAATTACTAAAACATTTTGTGCTGCACACATATTCTGCAAGCTGAGTACCAAACAAACAATATATATGATTACAAATGTATACCAAAAGGTAGTAGGATTTAATAAATCCTCCATAATCTAATATCATGTAACATATTTAAGGAATAGATCGACATTTTGGCAAAAATGCTTACTAACATTCTGGTGGAGAGTTAGGTGAATACATCCTGCCGTTATGCTAAGGTCAGCTAAGTTAAGCTAGCTGGCTGCAGCATTATACGTAAAGCACAGATATGAGAATGGTATTAATCTTCTCATCTAACTCTCCGCCAAAAATTGAATCAGCAAATTTCCCCAAATGTCCAACTATTCCTTTGAAGTAACTTTACTGTAATAGTAATATAGCATGTAATACATCATTTTAACTTTACATGCAATTACAAAAAACATTGTAAAGCAGAGTAGAACATCTTCTAAAGACCTCATGTAATGAATTCATCTTTTGAGTTTTGAGTCTTAACATCCAACCAACTTCATGAAGGCACAATGATCCCAGGGAAGAGACACGGCAATAAAATAATAAAATTGGATCTGGCTTTAATCGTACTTCATTTCTGCTGCTTTGTTTTCTAGTTGCCGTCTCCCCAAATTTAGCGTAATCAGTTTCTGCTGTTGACAATCCAGCATTCAGCGGTGAGAATGAGCCCTCCTGCTGTTTAACTTGCATAACTCAGTTTCCACATTTCCATCCAACCAGAGCCACACACTATCAATTAAACTCTCACTTCCATTATATGGGGTCCTCAAAAGGCTACTCGCTGAAATACCTTCATCCGTATATAATGTATTCAATACATTTTAGATACATAGAGAAATATAAAGATATCACATTTACAGTATACGAAATCAGGTCCTTCAACATAATACACTTTTGAAAAGGTGATAAGTGCGAGTGACATACATTGTGTTCAGCCTGTGGATATACACCAGCACTGCTAACAGATTCTCCTTCCCATATGTGAAAAAAAAACATAAACCACAAGTGCTGGTAGTGTTTTGTATGGACCACAATGACTCACACATGACGAATCCGCTTGTTTAAAGCAAAAGATTCCTCAACTATTTTTTTGGCCTGCACATTTTACCCCCAGTCCCCTCTATTCTTTGTATCCGCTGAGATCCCGACCTCCATTTTAGTTTCCCAAGAAACAACTATTTGAACTCCTCTAAATGAAGCACATGACCAACACAACCTGTATCACAAGACTAACTCTTTAGTCTGAATGTTAAACAGCATCACTTTGCAAATCCTTTAGTTGATAGCACACTGAAAATATACATTCAGCTAGTGTCGTGGTCACCAAGCATACAATGCACATTGAAATAGTCAAATGTCTTCAAAAAGAACAAAAATAAATCATAGTGATGGTTCAATATCTGATTTTTCAAAAAACCTGAGCTGCTGTCAGTCACCTGCTGACATTTTAGCAACATACCCACAAATTATTACATAAGCCAATAACAATGTTTTAAATGCTTACTTGAATTGCTGGTATTATTTAAGAATGCAATTTCCACATATTTCCACTGTATTCTCATTACAACAGGCAGAGTTTCCACATGAAGGGAGGGTTATAAGGTGGGATCTTAAATCCCGCTGCAGATTTAGCTGTTTTTGTGGTGATTTTACAAATATTCTGATTATTAATGGACACAAGGTACTTGCCAGTAAGGTTTTAAGACCCATACATTTTACCTCCTTTACCTGCCAGAGTCCAAAATACTATACACAAGTAAACACCCAAAACATGAAAGAAACAAACTACATTGATCAAATGTTTTTTGATTTGATGGGTCATATTAACTTATGTCCCCTACATTCACTGATGAAAGGCAGGCTGCATGTTTTCTGTAGGTTTACTTCGAGTAAATACAGTATGGAATCATGAAAAACATATAAATCCCAGTCAGGTGGAATGCAAAGCAAGTTTCCAGGTCGTTTAAAAAAAAGCACTGTTATCCTGTAATCACTATAGGCACAAAGAGGTAACGCCTACAGCGGCATGTGTTGGTGTTATGGACGGATGTCAAGGCCTGATTACCTGGTCCTCGTATAAAAAACCACAAGATACAAAACCTAAAAGCGCCTTTATATCTATGAAGTAATCAATACTGTTACCAGGAATCCTAGTGTGTGAAGGCATGTTTCCACGATGGACGGCAGGTTTAGTGTGAGGGCAGCGTGGCCGTGTTGGCTGCATTGAGTTGGCCCACAGCTAACATCAGGATGTCTTTCTTCTCTTTGTAAAAACGCAGTTCTCTGCCCGCCAGCCTGGCATCCTCCAGCTCTCGCTCCGTCGACGCCACCTCCTGCGAAATAGTGCTCGCTACACTCTGTTCTCGGTTCACCCAGTCGGCGGCCATCTGAGTGCGCATGTCATCATCCAGAGCCCGGTGGGAATAGTGAGCCAGCACTTCCTGCAAATGAAATAAAGAGAGAGAAAGCTAAGTGGTCTTGCCAACTCAAGATCTATTGAGACTTTTGTACATCTCCGGCCGCCGCTAAAGGATATCAAGCTAAAAACGTACTTCCAATTCGATACAAGAGATACTGATCTTAGATTGTGTATCTGCCAGGCACAATGAATCCCCAAAAATTCTAAAATTCAGTGTTCCAGCTGACAAATCAGTTTTTTTAGCACCACAGCAATCCTTGGCCTCATGTTACCTCACATAAAACTGATCCCACTGAATTCCAAACAGTGTATACCGATTTTAAATGCGATAAAAAGAGAGCACTGGTATTGTATTTCTACTCGATATCGGCAGATAGCCTGAGTTGAGGTATAAGAATTTTTCAAAAGACTGTACAACACGAAGATAAGCTTTAACACACCGACAGATTATTCTTTTAATCAATGTTTTTGGTAGCCTGTGTTAGTATTTATAATGCTTCGTCTGCCGTGACATTATTTTCCAGCTCCCCTCTGCTCTCTAGCAATGCCCCCCCCCCCCCCCCAAAATGTTAAATCTGTGTCAAGCCATGTAGGGAAATATTTGACACAGAGTTCGTTTGTTTAGGAAACTTGATGAAAAGTGATGAAAGCTACTACTGCACTTGGATAATTGAACCCATCGGTGAGATGACTGACAGTACCTGTCGGGAACACTGTCGTTCTCTCATGGCTTTGAGACTCCCGTTCCAGTGCAGCAGCTGGAACACGGTCATCAGCTCCTGAAACACAAACACAGCCGAGCCAGCAGGAATTAAGAAATGCACTCGCTTCAGGACACTCAAAAAGTAGCAGTTCCATTTTACAAACCAAGCATGCTTCCTTCAGATTCCCTATTTCTATTTATACATAAGGTTAAGATGTTCTGGCTTCGAGCTTCATGCTTTTAGTAAAAGAGAAACAGGTCACATGTTGGCTTAAACTACTGTGTGTTACCCCAATGGAGTAGCTAGCTCTTGGTAAGCTAGAGGCATACAAACTATAAATCTCTATAAAACATTATGTATACATCAGCTCAACACATGCAAAACATTTTAACACAGCATCTGGGCTCAAACCTTGCCAGTGCTATTTTCGCTCCACCCTAGTGCGTCTCAGAAGCATAAAACGGTACTTAACACGACACCGAATTTCACGCACCTGAAACTCCAGCATGGATTTTCCTTTGTTGGACTCAAGCATGAAGCGAAAAGCCCCAATTCCTGTGTTGGGATTGTCAGCCTCTTCTCTGTTTCCCTGGAAAGAACTACTAGTTAATGTCAGCGTGCTGTGTTGGCCCAAACAACAGCTAGACAAATACTAGATTTTTGGGTAAATATAATGCAGATAAAATAATGAAAAATGGAGGATCTCTAAAATGTGTGTTGCAACAGATTTTAGGAAACAATTGACAGCAGAGTACCCTTCAAAGCATCAATTATTGGTATCAGGTATCTACCGTTCTGCAAATAGCCATTTGCATGTTGCCAACTGCATTACATTTACACATTAGCAATATAAGTAATATAGTACTTGCATTACGAATCTTATATATGTGTCTATTTCTATCCTTTCATTATTATTTATATATCACCACGACATGGACGGAAGCACACAACCTCTAGGTGACTTACATTGAAGGAGGCCAGGGCCTCACTGACGCTCTTCTCAATGAAGTCGTCTGTGATGCGTCGAGAGGGATGTTCATTGAAAACAGAGTTCATCAGAGCAATCTTGGCAGCGCTGCGTCTTGCCTCTGCCTTGGTGGGACAGAACTATCAAACAGTGAAAGAAAACATGCATTAGTGGTCCGATAGAATCAGAAACACCGATATGCAGCCGAAAAAGATAAAGCCAGCCAGTGTTTATGTGGAGTTTAAGGTCTTGCATCCATAGTTGTTATGTTGTGGTCACAAAAATGTTGGAATTTTGTAAGCTTGTAACATGGCACTTGAGTGACATTTGTCTTACATTAATCGTACTGTATCAAGGGTTTCTACAACACACAATTATCACTGTCATCTCTGGGATGATCGTATCACAATCATGCTAAGAAACGGCAGACAAGGTACCTGGAAACTTCCAAAGCAGCTGCCCCCGGGAAGACTGACATAGCAAACATATGGAGGGCTGCTGGATGGAACCATTTCATAGACAACCAGAGCTCCGTTCCGCAGGTCGGCCCCTCTGGTCAGCTTCATCTGCCAGAACTCCTGTAAGGCTTCCACCACGTTTACTGGAGGGCACAGAGATAAAAAAAAAAAAGAAGCCTCGTCACAGTGTGGTATATCAACAACACTCTCCACTTGTCCCTGACTGAGCTCTGAAACTTCCTCTCTAAACACAAAGATGGAAAGGGTGGGAGGAAGGTCATCTCAAGGAAGTCAGAGGTTATTCCTGAAAATATTTAGATGGCTGCTAAAAGGATATTCTGCACCTCCAACAGGAAACAACAACAAAGAAAAGCAGTACAAATGAGTCAGAAATTATTCTTTGAGTTTGAATCTGCAGGGAGATGTGAGTGCAGCCAATGTTATTCTGGGCTGGTTGACTTCTTTTCGCCCTCAGCTCTTACCTGCTCACTTACAGAGCCTGGAGAACGATCAGTGCGTTTTAGGGCTGCAGCTCTGCGACTAATGAGGCCTCTGTAAAGAAGCTGAGATATATTCTGACATTAGATATATAAATCCTTGGACTGCAATCCAAATAATTGAGTTATTGCTCTTACTGTTTGAAAAAGTAAAGTGCTCACTGTAAACTGTTCTCTTGTTTTAAGCCAATAAAAGTAATAACTTCTATAACTAAGTTGCTCTTACTTACACAACAAATATATAGGAATCCATTGTGTACTCTGTTTAAAACAGTATAAAACATATTTGTTTTCATAAATACACGGTGCTACATGTATGATGAGCCATGGGATGTCCAGAAAATGCATTTAATTTTACTGAAATGTAGAGTAGTTGCTCTAAATCAAGGGCCACCTAAAGCAGGCTCAACCCACCAAATTCAGACCCAGACCAAGTTATTTTTGAGCATCTGAACGGTTCAGGAAAGGGATAAAATAGAAAGACAGGAAATATCGGGAGATAGCGAACACATGCAGCAATGATGCTGGCCCAGACTCAAACCTGGCCCGGTATCAATCGGCACATATTTGACAAATGGGAGAAAGGAAAAGTACAGTTATAAAATATAACTGACAGAATGTGTTAATAGTCTTGGGTTTTATTCCCTGGTAATAACATGATTATAACTATACCACAGAAAAAAGGTGGCAACCACAAATTACAATATAATGTAGGGGAAATAGTGAGTGCCGAATGCCAAAATATGGCTTTTCTGTATAAATGAGATAATTTACCCAACAAGTTTTCTTCCATAGAATAAATCACATTTATTCTCCAATCACAAATTGGAGCGACATTAAGATAAAAATATCAGCAGTCTTTGTGGTGCTGCCAATGTTGGCGGTGTTAAGTAGCCTAAATGGGATAGAGGAGGGAAGAAGCTGTGAGTCAGGAGCACAGAGGGACAATCTTTTAGAAATAAATCCTATTAGCAGACAGGAACACTTGTTTTAGCTCAACAGCCAACATTATAGCAGCTTTTGGTGTAATGTTAGTTTCATGCATAGTTCTGTCCAATGTGCTGTAGTGATACATATATATGTGAGCATAAGTATAATCATAAGTATGGAACAGCAACTTGTGCTTCTATCTCTAAAAAGTTAGTTGTGCAAATTACATCCATCTGGCAATCCTTACTAAGAGGAATAGTCAGGATAATAGGCAACATATTTTTGATTAAAAAAAGATGGATAAACCCACAACATCTTTGCTACTGACAATAACAGTATAACAGAATAACAGTAACGTGATATACAATTACATTACAGGACCAGAGATGTACTGTGTCCAATGTGAAACAAGTTACTAGAATAAAAGCTTATTGTTCGTAAATGTAATCCCCCAGGGCTGTGCTACTTAATCCTTTAATGAAGTTGTTGAAGACAATGTTATTATACGTGTGTTAATATCAAAGGAAAACTTTGATTCCAGAAAGAAACATTATTGTGATATTGTATCCGATGAAAATCACCAGAATACACGGTAGAACAATATAAAGTCGGTTAATTTGACACAATGTAGCCAAGCATGCCATTTACAGGAATACAACGTTAGCATGGGGGGTTCTGTTACTAATCCACTTCCAAGCGGATGGCGCAGCTAAAAGTGGCTGTTTCTGCTCCTCCAACTCCAAACTGAACCATATGACACACATTATCACCGCTATCTCCACATTAAACAGAGCAGTATATCACCAGTGGACGTTACCTCTGCCGTAACCTTGCGTGTGTTTGGCGAAGCTGCGGACCACCGCCTCCACAGCCTCCTTCAGCACCGCCGGGTTCCCCGGGTTACAGTGCCCGGTGGCCCCCAGCCCCGCTCCGATGCCGCCGTACAGGCTGTGGAGCTGCAGCGGAGGCAGCGGTGGAGGAGGCCCGGACGAAGCGGCCAGAGAGGCCGGGGAGGGCAACAGCGGCGCGATGGGGACCGTAACCCCGGGCCGGAGAGAGGAGCGCAGGGTCCCGGTCGGTCCGGAACCGAATCCAATGCCTGGCTGTAGCCTCTGAGGGCGGATACTGTCCGGCATAACGCTAGATTCCATTGTCCAAACGTAACGTCTGCGTAAAGTCCTGGTCTGGATTCAATTTGTACCGATCAACCCGACGGGTTCAGGTTCAAAAAATGGTATATGAGGGCTTGATGAACAGAGTATTAGCAGGGCTTTGTCAATCACAGTCGAAAGAAGGACTCAGCCGATGTTCATTCGACACATATCACCGCTGCTGTGCATCCTCACTCTCTGGATTAGGCTGCGGGATTGTCAGTCAACTGATGCCTTCACGGATCCCTCGTGCTCTACAGACTCTGAGTTAAAGAACCATGACTGTATTTTTGCATGTCAAACCATTGATGTCCGTGGTTTTAGTGCATTATCTACCTCTAATAAATCCTAAATAATGGCTGTAGGATGCTTCTTTAATGGATTGTGTGCTTGGTTTCTCATCCGAATTCAGAAATTCAGTGTCTAAGGACAGCGTGTCATATGCTGTAAACATTGTAAAGCCCTCTGAGCCAAATTTGAGATTTGTGATTTTGTGTTACTATACATAAACAAAATTAATTTGAATATAAATGACGATTGTAAACTTGACTTTGGCACTGGTTTTCTATTTTATCAGGTTTATCAGAAAAGTGTTAATTCAACTCGGTTGTGTGTGATTGCATTACATCAAATGGTCGGTGTGTCTTATTTTCTATGCACCAGCATTTACAAACATGAGGATGACATGCTATTAGAAAGTCAGTTGGTGATGGAAGATGTGGTGCCGGAAAAAACATATAAATAAGTAAATGACACTACATAGCAGAATATTACAGTGTGCCGCTTCTCACGAGAGATTTCTGATAGACGCTTGTTAATCTCATTTGTAGAACCAGGAGGTCAATATTTGATTAAATTATAAACTTTACCAGATGCATTTCAATTCTATTGAAGTTTACTTAATGCTAATAAAAACTGACAATGCAATTGTTTACTCAATTCCCCTTTAAATGGTCAAGTGGCACAGAAGGAAAACAGATGCTGTTGTGTAATGCTTTAAAACAATTCCTTAAAAGAACAAACTCCTGAATATCACATTTTGATGACTTGTGCATTTTTCCCCCCACTATGGTATGCTTGTTCAAATTATGTGCATACCGTTGTCATAATTACGATCTTTTCTATCGCACCTGAATGCAGCAGTGGAAAGTCAAAGAAATATCAAGCCAAGAAATCTGAGCCTCTGTTCTCACCAACGGAGCAGAGCTACAGTGAGGGTTTACAGCTTCAGCTCTGCAGCCTGGAGCATGTGATTAAAACTTAGAGGCCGAGTAACTCAATTTATTCGATAAGAGGGTGAAAACAATGATGATCATTCTTTGAAACAGACAATAAAAGTTTGAAGTAACTTGGTCGAGTTTTGAGTTAGTGGACCACTAAAGACTTGAAGAGGAAATGGGACATCCTCTTGAGTTTCCTAAATGTTTTTTATGACTTTCTGGTGCTTGTGTGATTTTTCATTCTTTCTGTGGTCTGGTTTGAGGCCAGAGGAGTGTGGAGGAGGATCTTTTTTTTTCAGAGCTGAATCTGCAAAAACAAGGTTTAAACAAATTCGAGTAGACTGAGGAATGGTGGAAATTCCACAAACATCTAACATTTGAGCTGTGGCCTGTTTACATTGTTTGCTGGAGCACACGCGCACACACAACAGTCACATATCAGAATTGTAATGAGTGGTTGGCTCACTGGAGGGCGTGCTCTCATTTCATTACATCAGTTAATAACCTCAGCTATGCAGCTCAGTGACGTTTGGTCACTGATGTTGTTCTCCAGTCGGTTTCTAGTGCTTAGTTTTATGTGTGTTTGCTGCATTTACTTTTTTCCCACTTCTTGTTATCTTTTCCTTCTCTCACTGTCGCTCAAATAACAGTAATTATAACTAGCAGCCAGCCTAAACATATTGTTTTCATAACAGTAGCTAAGTTTAAATGCATTTTTTTCTGCCTTTTTTATTTTCTACTTTAAACTACACCTTGAGTCACAAATATTGTACTTTTTACTTTACATTTACTTGGCAGTTAAATATACTAGTTACTAGTTAATGTCTGTGAGTTGTTGGCAGTCACCCAAAAGACATGTTCCCCTTTAAACCCGGTTTCAGTTACATAACAGTTTGAAGCCCAAATAAGTAAAACATTCCAATAATTCTCAAAAAAACATAAGATTCCAAGAAGTAAAAATAAATTGTTGTGTTGCACAACTTTGTTTTATTTTCTTCTATCCAGCCTCATGACCAATCACATTTATCTTGTGAACCTTTGAAAGAGGCCCTGACCTCCAGGTTGTGAAACACTGGACGTAATACTTGTTAACTGTTTATGAAGTAGTTCAAACTAGATCCACCTCCACCAGCAACAACAGTGAAGTGCTGCTTACACATTGATGCATCAGTTACAATATAATCATGACATATAACAGTCATTAGGGTCATTTTAATACAATTTTGCCTGTAATACTTCTGTACTTTTACTTATGAATGTGTTTGAATATAGGACTTTAACCTGTACTGAAGACTTTTTTACATTAAGGTATTGGTACTTAAGTAAACGATGTGAGTATGTCTTCTACCACTGTGCTTCTCCTTATATTGCACTACATCTGTATAAATGTAATTTTTAGGGGATAGGGTTGGTGTCTGAAAGCTGTAGTTACTTTACAGATTAAAATCATTGGATCAGTTTAAGAGTATGATACATTGTTACAAAATAAACGACAAACACTCTATAGAGTATATTATCTAGTTCAACTAACTCCATTTCTACCAGTCAAAACATTCAAATGTTTTGTAACAATAATAACAATCCAATTATATCATATATATGTGTTTTTTTTTGTGCTACACTTATAATACAGCAAAACTACAGACGATACTCAGCTTTATGTTTTCTCGTTTTGTTCTACCAAACTGTTCACCTTTTTGCTGCAACGTTTATGTGTAGTGCTCCATGTCCATGTCATCCTTGCATGCCTTGCATACCAGTTCCTTTTTTTTTCATTTTAAGAGGATGGGATTGAGAGACGTAAACAACCTAAGCTGTTTTCACCAGGAGAGTCCAGGCCAGTGATGAACAGACTCAGGACAGAGAGAATACATTCCCACATCTGGTTTTGATCTAAGCTTTTGTAGTCTGACTTTTAAAACTCCAGTGCAGGGCTTTCCCACTGGATGAAAAGAGAGTCATAGGATTCTCGCTCAAGTTTTATTAAACAACTTGTGTTGTTTATGTTAACCTCTCATATATTTCCTCCGTATTCCCATTTACCCCCGCTTTGAATTGTTTATGACTGACTGAGGAGGAGTGGGGCTGAGTGTTAATGACTTTACAGCAGCCATAAAGATAGACTGGAACACCCGTGTTGGATGTAAACCAAAGGTAGAAGGGTTACAGCCACGTGTATGAGTGTCATACTTCTCCCCAAAGGACAGCTGACTGAGACATTTTTAAAGACCATATTGTTGTTGTTTTCTTAAAAACTCTTTTCATTTTAGAGAATATTTTTCAATCCTGTGGTCCATTAAATTGAGTAAAAAATAAAAGTTTTGTATTTATTCTAAAACAAGAGAGTAAACTCTTAATTCAACACGCAGACATAAATCCTCATAATTAAAGTTCAAGATGTATATAGTAAGTAAAAAACAGTCCAAAGCCATAGCAGCTATCCGTGTCTACATTTGAGTTAGATGCTAGTAACAGCATGCTAACATGCTGATGTTTAGCAGGTATAATGTTAACCATGTTCACCATCTTAGTTTAGCATGTTACTATGCTAACATCTGCTAATTAACACAAAGCACAGCTGATGCTGATGGGAATGTCTTTAGTTTTACATGTATTTAATGGACTAATTCAAATGTTGAGTCATGAGATAACAAAAGTGATTATTCTGAATTTATCCTGAATGGGGCATTAATGTATGTATCAAATTCCATGGCAATCCATTTAATAGCTGCTTAGACACATCACTAAAAACCACAAACGTCTACCTGCTGGTGGTGCTATAGATGACAAGTTAAGAGATCATCAAAGACATCAGGATTCATCCTCTGGGAACCATGAATGTCTGCACACAGTTAATCCATATTCAACAGTTATGATATGTCAGTCTGCACCAAACTGGTGGACTAACACATGGACTGACATTGCCATTCCTAGAGCTATGCTACTAGCATGGCTAACAAGAAAGAATCAGAATCAGCTTCATTGGCCATGTATGAGTAGGCGTACAAGGAATTTGACTCCAGTTTTTCCGTTGCTCTCAACGTACATACAAAGAAATAGACGAATAAACAAAAACAAGGACAACTAATTAGAACAGAGGTAAGTACAAACATGTATCTACTATGTACAAATATAAATATATATACAAAAGTATATATATATGAACATAAAACAACACCAATGACAGGGCGACAGGCCGGTAGTCAATTGATCCTGTAATGGAGGATTTCTTGGGGACCGGGATAATAGTGGAGCGTTTGTAACACCAGCTCTCAGCAAGTGACTCTGCTTCTGTCTGGAGAGGTCTCAGATCACCAACTACAAACCTAAAACACCCCAATCTAGGAATGACCTCCGCCTGGCAGACGAGCTGAATGAGTTCTACTGTAGATTTGAAAGACAATGGGACAGCCCTGACTCCATCCCCCACAGCCCCATCAACCAGCCCCAGACCACAATGAAGGTGCACTTCTACACTGCCATCATTGAGTCCATCCTCTGATCCTCCATCACGGTCTGGTACGCTTCAGCCACTGCCAAGGACATGGGCAGGCGCATCATTCGCTCTGCCGAGAGGGTGATTGGCTGCAATCTACCGTCCCTCCAGGACTTGTTCGCTTCAAGGACCCTGAAGCGAGCAAGAAAGATTGTAGCCGACCCCTCTCACCCTGGACACAAACTGTTCATGCCCCATCCATCTGGCAGGAGGCTGCGGTCCATCAGGACCAAGACCTCACGCCACATGAACAGTTTCTTCCCAACCGCAGTCCGGCTCATTAACAAAGCCCGGGACCCCCACTGACTCTGTCATCCCCAGGACAATTTCCTACTGGTCACTCCACTGCACATCCCTATGTTTCTTTATTTAAACACACTCGACACTTTTAACATTTCACTTACATTTCACTTGTTTACAGTTTGTTGTGCACTTTATTTTATATTTTATTGTACATTTTAATACGTTTCTATTTCTTGCACTGTGTTGGTTGTTGTTGATTGTTTAATGTTATTGTTTAATTTTATTGTTTATTGTTAAATGTCATGCACCACCCACCATGACAAATTCCTTGTATATGTGCAACATACCGTGGCAATAAACGGTTCTGATTCTGATTCTGATTGAAGCAGGAGGGGACTTCACACAGCTCCAGTGATTGATTGAAGATCTGCGTGAAGATAGGGGCCAGCTGGTCAGCACAGACTCAGGAGGCTGACACACCGTCTGGGCCATGGTGCCTTCCTGATCTTCTGTCTGTGAAAGAGCAGACTCACATTCTCTTCGCAGATCGTCAGTGCTGGTGGGGGGTCGGTTGGGAGAGGTGAGGAGGTCGTAGGGGGTGTGGGTGGTTGTTTGATATCAGAGCGGTTGGGGGGTGTGAAAGTGGGCTTATCAAACCTGCAGTAGAACACATGCAGGTCGTCAGCCAGTTGGTGATTCTCCACACTGTGGGGGGATGGTCTCCTGTAGTTGGGAAGGTCCTTCAGGCCTCTCCACACTGACGCAGGTTTGTTGGCTGAAAACTTGTTTTCCAACTTGTCAGTGTAGCTCCTCTTTCCTGCCCTGATCTCCTTTGTCAGTGTGTTTCTGGCCACGATATATATATATATATATATATATATGAAGAATGCTTTCCTGTGTTTTTTAGGTTGTTGTTTTAATGCTGTTAATGCCTTAAAATGATCCCCAGATAGTGATCATAGATTCCTATAAAATAAAACATACATTTTATGACCACACTCACATTTGTATATCTTTATTTACCACGTAAAGTGCCATTGAGTACCTTTTAAAGCATTATAATAATAATTAATACAAATATTATTATTATTATTATTATTTAATGTCTATTTTCATTAGGGCAGCGACCACTGCATTTGTAGCCTAGTTTGCGACATCTAGACAGACTTCTATACAACTCAACTTTACAACAAAACAGATAACTGAATCAATCAAATAAAATCAATCAATCAAACAGATCATAATCAGAACATTCATCATAATCATAATAAACTTTATTTATAGGGCACTCGAAACAAGTTACAAAGTGTTTAATATAAAAGCACTCTCTGAAATAATATTAAAATATTTTACAGCCACAATAGTACAATTAAATGCAAAGTAGAACAATAATAAAACAAGACATTCTGTCAGTTATCTTCTTTGTTATATCTGTTGAAGCTCATGTGTCATTATCAAACGTTCTGGCCTGGCTGATGCTGTTAACGTCATTAAGCCGTTTATTTAATCAATATGATAAGATGTACACTCATGTTGGAATGTCAGCAGAGGGACTGTTGGACTTTGGTTTAGTTTGCCCAGATGGCAAACAGAGTTTGCAAGAGTCAGTGCTGTGATTCCGTTATCGGCACAAACATCCAATAATGTTTTCTCGTCTTTTCTTGTCCAATCAGATTCACATCACGTCACAGCTGCATCATCATGCAGGACAATAAAAAGTATGAGAGTCCCACAAGAAATCATCATCTCTTCCAACTTCTCCTGCAGTACCGGTGAGTCTAGATGTGTTTTGTTATGGGCTGAAACTGCATCTGAAACAATGAGACAATTCCAATAACTCTCCTGGAATGTAAGACTAATTGTTACTTAACTAAAAGACTGAAAGGCAACTTTTGAGGGTAAAATGCACTCCTTTAAAGATGTAATGAGGGAACTGATGTTGTATAATGGCAAAGGGAGGGTTTTGCTCCTGAAGATGTTTCTCAATCATGTTTAACATCTTTAAATTTTCAATGTTATACTTTCATGTCAAGTTCTGGCACAATCCTTTTCAGTCTATTTTTTAAAATCGTATTAATAGATTGCCCTTATACATAGTTTGTGAACACTAAATTATTTTTCTTAATTTTGTTTCATCATCTGCAACAGAGATTCTTAACACACAAAGCAGCGATACACATCTGTATATTTGTATATATTCAGATTTAAAGTCTATGGTCTAAAAAGGATATAAAAATGATGTCACTCCAATTTGTTTTTTAAATGTATTTTCCTCAATCTTAATGAAAGTATAAAAGAGTTAATAAATGACCCAATGAATATATGCACTGAGGTGTTCACTGTATTTAAAGCAGCATAGTGACAGTATAGTCTGATTAACACTAAACCAATGGAAGTGCCTAGCTCTTTATATGTTATCAGTAAATCATAAAATATATTTTTAATTCCAAAGAGGAGAAAATATGCCCTCATCCACAGGTGGTCCAATTCCAGGAACTTAAAGGGGAACTAGTTTCAAAATGCATACATGTTATTCCAAGGGTGTAAGATTGTAAACATGAACAACTCTTTCCCAAATCCACAAATTTACAGCACTAAAACTCAGATGTGTCTATTAAGACACATTAGACTTGACATTAATTATATCAAGTATAGAGTGTGATGCGCTCCATAGACAATGAAAGATGTTACATATGACACTGAGAGCACCCAGGAGAATGTTTTGAGTATATGGTACATTTCTGTTTCACAACTAAGAGCACTACAATAGAATACAGCTCATTTGCATCTCCCAGTCTACAGAGCAGCTGCAGATTTAATACTTGATGGCAAGTTTGAGACTAACTTCTCTGGTTTCTGTGTTTGAGAGTATAACTCATGTTCACAACCAGCCATGGAAATAACATTTTGGAATTCTTATTTCATGAAAATAAGCTTTCTCTTCTACAAAATATCTTATTCTAAATTCATTAAACAGTTGTAGAGAAGTTTTCTGCTCTTGATTCAGAGCAATGAAATATAGATGTTCATTTTGTGAGCTGGGAACACATAACTGTGATAAATTATTCCAAAGTCAAGGTTCCCTCTCCAGCTTTTTACTGCAGTTATTGACGCGATGTTTCTGATAAGCCAGATAAAGTTTACAAGTTAATGCGTGGGGGTTTGGACAAACACACGGTGACTACAAATATTTATTTTATTACCTCATCATGAGAAAGTCAGGCTGGCATTCCTAGAAAAAGTAAGAACTTTTCAACTATTCAACTTCTGAAAAACAACTTCATGAAACATCCTAATGGCCCATTTTTGGATTTCAAAAGGAACATTGTCAGGAAGGTTAACTCCAAGCAAAATGGTGTAAAAAAGATGGTGCTTTTTTAGTCAGCACAGGTATGATTATATTGCAACAGAGCAAAAATGACAGAGGAACATGCAGCGTATTAACATCAGGTTATATCATCATCATCATGCATAAATGTTTGCTTTTGTAGGTCTCCTCCACTCAGCAGCCATGAAATTCTCCCTCATTGCCACCATTGTTCTGCTTGCTCTGGCACAAGGTAGGACCTTCATATTTACTTCGTCTCCAAATGAGAAGAGTGCAAGTATTTTGTTTATCGTAGTTGTGAAAAACATACTTAATTGACTTTTTTTATCTTTGGAAACCTACAGGAAGCTTTGCACAAGATGCTAGCGATCTTAAAAACCTCGGTCAGTACTTTGAGGATTTGAAGACCAAGTTGATACAGGACATGACTGAGCTAATCCGCAACCAGGACCTGGCAAACCAGGCTCAGTGAGTACAGCGAACCCGGGACACCTCCGTCTCACCACATATAGTCAAGGTTTAGGGTAACATTCAAGATAATAACTTCGGTAAATGACTTGAATACTTCTTCCACTGCTGTTAAATGGTTGTCAATAATCATCTACGGCTTACTTTACCACAATAAAATTTAAACACCAAAAAAAAAATATATATATACCAATACACTTATTTCATCATTTGGGGAACCCAATTTCACCGACTTAGCGATAAAAATAAATAAATAAATATTTGAACTGTTCATCAGTAGCCCAGGACACATGCTAGCAACAGAGACCGCTCTGGATTTTCATATATGATGGTTAACCATGTTCTACCCCACAGGACCCAGATTCAGCCTTTAGTTGCTCAGATTCAGGAGCAGCTGAAGACCGTTGCCACCAACGTCGAGGAGCATATTAGGCCCCTGGCCGCCAACGTGCAGGAACAGCTCAAGCCCCAGATCGAGAGCTTCCAGCAGCAGATGGAGGCCATCATCCAGAAGATGAAAGAGCAGACCATGGTACTTGGAAACTAAACAAACTGTCCTTCCAAAAGATGCAAATGTGCCCCCACACCACCCTCTTGCAGCTGGCCTGAAAGTGCAGCCTAAGATGCGTTATATGCGATTGCTGACAATATCATCTCTGTCCCAAAGCACTATTAAAACTTGAAACAACTTCACTGTGTACATTTCATTTGTGTATGATGAGTGTTCTTTTGTTGGCCACTTTATCATTGCAGTTCTGAATGGGTTTGATTTGACCAACACATTTGGAGACTCTTACCACAATCATGTTACTATCAGTCATAGGAACAGACTTATTGCCACTATTTGTAATTTCACAAACAGTCAACAGACACATACAGATTACTTTATAAGTTTTATTCAAGCAAGCAAAGGTGAAGGGAAATTTCACAATAAACAGTCTTCTACAGCCCAAACATTCAAACATTTCAAAAAGGGAAAACAATGGCAGAAAAGGAATGCTTTCAATCATATTTTATCACGGAATTCTTCTCTAAAACCTCTCATGAACTGGTTATTTTTTATTTTAAGTTTTTCTCTTTTTTGTGTATTTTCTCTTTTTAACTCAGCCAACAAGGCCTGGTGTTTCTGTTGATTAGAGGCCTGGCTGGAGACTTGTTTCCATAGTTATTTTTTTAATATATCATTTGACTTCTTTTTACTTTGTTTTATGCATTTTAAGATTTTTTTCACTGTTAAGATCCATCGGTGAAGCTAGTATCAAGGTTCCCCACTCCTGTGAAAACACAAAAAGACAATCTGTGATACTAATTACTACTGTACATGTTTATGTGCTTCGCTTATAACACCATAGTTGCTATCGCCCGCATCAGCAGTCGTCATGTTGAGAGCCATGTGGATGCCATGTGTGGCAGTGTCACGTGAAGCCATAATCTCCTGTCAACACCGTCCTTTCCTTGTTAAAGCAGCTCTGGGAAACGAGTCATACCTTGGGTTCAGACACTCGGGACACCAGCTGAATTCGTCACAGTCTTCTGGACGGCTTCCTTTGCCTGGTGGGCTTGAAGCACAGCCACTGCCTCATCCACCTGCAAAGATTGAGTTGTTGAATGTTGGCAACGCCACAACATCGTGGTGGGATCTTTAAAGTGCTCTGCTGCCACAAGATCCACCTTTCCTGCACATCAAGCTCAGTAGCATACTTGCACTTAAACTCACATCCTTTGGTGTAAATGTTTCCTGGGACATTTCTATTAAGAACAGAAAGTAGTCTCTGAACTTAAGTTCTTACCTTTGAGCGGAGAGACTCTGGGGACTCCAGCATGTGGAGAAGCTCAGAGTTGTCAATTTCCAGCAACATGCCAGTGATCTTCCCAGTCAGGCTTGGGTGCATGTTCTGGATCAGTGGGAAAAGACGTTCACCTAGAGGAGTGACGGACACAGAGGATTTAATACAGAATGTAATCATCACTCACCGAGGGACGGTTACTGAGACAACACCATGTTAATACATGCGTTATACAATATACAGCAGAGAAGGTCAAGTGGGGGTGTGGTTTCCTTAGCTGGAGATAGAGGTGGAGTAAAAGTCTCAAGTTCAAATGATATTGCACATACTGGGTGCAGTGAAAGGTGGGGATGAGTGCTACATCACTCTAATGAGGTATGTGGTCATGAAGAGCTGTTGCTGAAGCTTACCCAGCATCTGCTTCTGTTCCTGTGGTGGAGCAGCTGCCAGCATGGAGGCCGTCAGAGGCTCCTGTCCCTGAACATGGACAGCAGGCTGTGGGGAAAGGGACGCAGGAAATTATAAGTCAGACGTTTTCCCCACATGGAGGGCAGAACAGGTTAGCCGCAGCAGTTGGCCTAACAAAGAGATTTGTACCTGCTGCATGGGGACTTGTGGCTGAGCAGGTATGTGCTGCTGGGGATTGCGGACTCCCGCGGCATATTTGTACTGAGGGACTCCGCGCACAGGAACGCCTGCTGCTGCAGCTGCGACAGCCGGTCGGGGGCCCATGGTCTGAGCTGTGGCAAGAACAGGGGTACAGAAACATAAACGCAAAGAAATAAGCAGCAGACATACAGTCGAACTGTATTTGATGCGCAGTTGGACAAACTATGGCTCGAGTATAGGCGACTGACCGACACGCTGGGTGGACATCATGCGGGGCACCTGGGAGGTCGGCCGCATGGTGCCGAAGGTCTGAGGGCGCGGTGCTGAGGGACGCATAGCACCCGGCATGTTCTGGAAGTCTATGAACACACAACAACATAGTGGCTTTGTGTACAAACGACTACTTTTTGTTTCAGTGCTTTAAAATGACAAAACAATGATTGAAGGACAGCTTAAGAAAGGCTAGATACTCACGTTGTGGCCTGACACCTTGGGTGGCCCAGCGTGGGCTCGGGCGGAGCTGGGCCATCTGCCCAGCAGCTTGGTAGTAAGCGGCACGGTTCTGGGCCTGAGGTATGGCTGCCATGAAGTAGCCAGAGGGCGGGGCCGGCTGGTAGGGATTGATGACCGGGTTGGGCACCGCACGCACACTAGCCATGCGCTGCATGTACTGGTTGGTCAGGTGGGCCTGGCGCTCCTCCTTCCGCTGGGCCAGGGCCACGTACAGCGGCTTGGTCGCTACGATGCGTCCGTTCATTTCCGTCACCGCTTTCGTGGCCTCCTCCGGGGACGAGAAGCAGACAAAGCCGAAACCTTTACTGCGCCCCCCCTCCATCATGACCTGAGAGCGAGAGAGTCAAATGTCACTGATGAATGAATCTGGGCACCGGTAAATGAGAGCGGTTCCTATAAGTCATCTATGAAATTACAGAAAGCAAAGAAAACAGCTGATGTCCTACCTTGGCGCTGGTTATGGTGCCGAATGGTGTGAACTCCTTTCGCAGACGTTCATCGTCAATCCCGTCATCAAGGTTCTTCACGTACAAGTTGACACCCTGAAAATAAGACAAAACTAATCTTAACTTTTCTTTGAAAACATTACATATTGGGTAAAAATAATCCAATGCCAAAGGACTGAAAAAAGTCCCTTTACTATGTATTTAATGCATTTGTCTGTAATACATATTTATCCCCAGAGATCACGGTGAAGAAAGGTGGGGCCCATGAACTACAGAGTCACTGTTGCAGCCATTTTGGCCAGTGCAACCTATTGAGGAGGGAGCACTGAATTTGACAAAGCTGCAACCGGTCAACCTGCTTGACCGGACGGTATCACCGAAGGGATCAATTAGAAGCAACTATCAAACTATGACGCTTCACTTTGGGCACAATAAATTATGTTGAATCTGACAAGAGGAAGAGGACCTGGTAGCGAGTCATGCGGTCTTGTTTCATTTGCTCAAATTTGCGCTTGAGCTCAGTCTGTCGCTCCACCTTCTTCTGGGCGCGGCCAACGTAGATGAGCTTGCCGTTGAACTCCTTCCCGTTCAGCTCATCCACTGCCTGAAGCAAACGGGAAAACAAAGCCAACTCAGAGGGCGTAGTGGTGGACGTCTCCAGGCGGTTGGGACAAACTCTTACCTTCTGGGCATCCTCGTGCCTTTCAAAGCTGACGAACCCGAAGCCTCGAGACTTTCCGCCGTCATCCGACATGACGCGGATACTCATCGCGTTTCCTAAACAGAGACATGCATTTAGGAACTATATTTTACCCAATCGTGTTTTAATGCAGATGATCAAACCATTGCGTCTCTATGCACAGGAGCAGACTTAAGTCATTTCATAGAGCTGTTTGGAGATTGGACACCATGACTGACCATATTTACTGAAGACGTCCCTCAGCTTCTCTTCATCTATGTCTTCACCGAAGTTTTTGACGTAGACATTTGTGAACTCTTTGGCTCGGGCACCCAGCTCCGCCTCGCGCTCTTTGCGAGATTTGAAGCGACCCACGAAGCTGCATTGAAATGGACATTAAGCAAATAATTAATTAGACATCAACTATGTTAATTATAGGAATGATAAAATGTTCTGCTCATCGCAAGTGAAAAGCAGACCGTGTGTTCATCAAGCTCATTATTACACACTTATCACACATTATGTGCACAAGCATCATTGTGCAACCTTCGAATCAGAACATGTGCAGCGTTAATTGAACAAAAAGTATTTCTCCGCTTCACGTATTAGTTTGAAACATATTAAAAACATTCACTTACACTTTGCGGTCATTGAGCAGCATGCCATTCATTTTCTCAATGGCTCGTTCAGCTGCCTCCTGAGTCTCAAAATGCACAAAGCCGTAGCCTTTAGAGCCATTCTCGTCACAAACCACCTTAGAGGAAGAAACACATGCTGCTTTAAAGCCACACACAATGCAGTACATTGAACCTGAAACTGTCTTATTCATCTCCTCTCTGAAACTGACTATTCTTTTGTGTCCTTGTGTTGGGAAACGAGTCCAGAATTACTTTAAACCTGTGTGATTGTTAAAACCCTTTCTCCCATTGCCATCTATTATGTCTACTGAATGTAATAACAAAGACAAACTGTTGGGGGACAATTTCACACGATGTAATGTCTCTAGTATAAATTACCATCGGACATTTACAAAGCTCACACATGCAAATGATGGCTGCACTCACAATGCTGTACCACAACAGTGGACCATCCCCAATTCAGGTTAGATACAAGAAACTGGGGTTAGATCCACACTACTAGGTTTCTGTTTTGAAACGCATATCTTTCATAAAACCCTGGCTTTGAAAGGAAACGTATTAGTGTGGATGGAGCCTGAGTGGGGAAACTAGTCTTTTTACCTTGCACGACAGGATGTTTCCAAACGCAGAGAAGGTGTCGTACAGAGCCTTGTTGTCGATGGACTTGTCAAGATTCTTAATGAAGATGTTTCCCACGCCGCTCTTTCTCAGTGATGGATCCCGCTGCGACCACATGATGCGCACAGGCCGCCCCTTGATCACATCAAAGTTCATGGTGTCCAGTGCACGCTCGGCTGAGGGAAGAAACACGGGAGCAGGGTTTAGATTATTTATGACGAACAGTCTTGACGGTGGTTCTAGTGCTTACGGTTTGTAGGGAAACTGAATAAAACTGTTAGCGTTAGGGTACAGTTTTACCACCATGATGATGTTGTGGCGGTGAAACATTTTTGCATCCAAGAAAATCAAAAAGGCAAATGCAGACCGGTGCCCTCATCATGGGAATGCAGAAAATGTAGATATTTGGCTTCTATACAGTATGCAGGGCTGACATATTCTAACATTTTTATAAAACAGGTATACTATTTATTTTTAATCTACAAATAAAGATGGATGTTCAGATCATTCTAGGGAGATTCAATCAAAATGTTTGTGTCAGCTGTTTAGGGAGAACAGTTGGGGTGTTGTCCCGACAGAGCGGAGATAAAGAGGCATTGAGCATTCAGCTGGCCGATAGATAGCGGTACACTGCTACATTACTAGGGTGGGCAGGGCGGACGTGGTGCTTTGCTGCTACGCCACTGCTGGGGAGGTTCAACTGAGGAGAACCTACCGACAACATGTCGGCCGCAGTCACGTGTAGTAAAAAAAAAAGGGGGCTAGCTTTCACTTGTCACATACTGTCATTATTAAAAACAGACATTTAATAAAGTACCTACCGTCCGCTGGCTGTTGGAAGTTGACATAAGCGTATCCGAGGGAACGCCGGGTAATCATGTCCCTACAGACCCGGATCGATAGGATAGCTCCGGCTGGGCTGAATTTCTCGTACAGCATGGCCTCGGTCACATCTTGATGCAGATCCCCGACGTACAGGGAAGCCATGGGGTAACTGGGAGCACTGGGATTCATTATCGAGGCTAGTAAAGCACCTCGGGCGAAGCCGGATTTTCTTGACGGGGAAAAAAAAGTTTTTCCGGCTACAGTACGAATGGTTATCTCACGGTCACGAGCGTCACGTCAGTTCGGGGGCAGAATGCTGATGGTTAACGTTAACAACCGTTGGCTTGTCAGTTCAAGGGTTTTGAGTAAAAAATGTATGAGATAAATATGTTAAAATTACAAAATGTCGACTTCTAATGGGGTTAAAACTGTCATTTAAATGTGACACACTGATAAAAGCAAATTAACGTTACTTAGTTTCGGTTCTGAACCAGTAACACGTCGACTGAAAAAATAAAATGCCGTTGGATTTGTTAGGCAGCCCGTTCTTATACGTTACCGTCCAGTCCGCGAATGTCTAACGTTACTCCAGCTTCACCGTTGTTACAAAAAGAAGAAGAAGGAAAAAAAAAAGAGGGATTTTTTGTTTTTTTTATGTTTTGAGGTTTTTTTTGTATTTTTTTTTTTTATAGAATGTGTGAGCGGGCTCAGGAGCACACACGCACTCACACAGCACCAACAGCCGGGATTGAGGGTGAGTGAGCAGCAGGAAGTTGACGTTTATATACTAGTGGGCGCGTCACCCAAATGGACCAATCATCCATCGGTGTAGTTGAAAAAAAAAAGTCGACAAAAGGGGCGTTGACCACAACTGTACGCATGATGATGAAATTATGTAAAAAACGCATCGTTAAAGACTGAAATTGACTTATTGGGTTGACCACAATAGTCGACTGTTTGGTGATTCTGTGTGGGGACGACGTGAATTCCTCCGCAGAGCTTCGGGGAGATCCCTGCTACCGGTGCTCGGAATGTCATGGGCTTGTCATGGCGTATAGGCACGAGGGTTTACTGCACACACCGCATGATATGCCTCGTGTGACACGGTGACTTAGCAAATATGATATGCAGGTGAGAGTCACATACAAACCCTTCACGCTATAAATGTACCTTTTTTTTTTTTTTAATATATAAATAGGAGCATATGCTGTGTGGTGTATCTCTTAAGGGCATTATCAGCTGCTATCTGAGGGAAACTTCTCTAGATTGTCTTTAAAGGCCATTGATCAGGGCGAAACATGTCACTGTTTAGGGTAGAATGTGATGTGATCGGCTTACTATCGTTCCTAAATAGAGGTTTACAGCAGTGTGCTTATGATCCGCCTGGCTGTGAAGACAGATTAGAGTGACATTTATGCAAATACCAAATCAAGAGTCATCACTCATGTGAGTTTCACTTATTTTGTCTTGTGTGGCGAGACTAATCATGTCTAGGTTTGTGTAGAGAAATCAAATGTAAATTAAAGGTATTGAAAATAAAGAGTTTTTACTTAAGCTAAAGTATTTTATCATGTCATGGCCTTTCAGCAGTACAGCAAAGTGGCACGCGAGTATTTTTCTTCAATATTAGAATATACCAAAGTGTAGGACTTCCAACATTAGAAATGAACAAAAGTTGTTCAATGAATGCCGACCTTGGCGGTGTGCTTGAGGAGTCACTAGCAGCCATTTACCTAAATAAAACAGTCCTCACTTAGCTTGAAGATGTGTACACTCTCAGATCACCGAGGATGTCTCGATGTTAACGCATTGTAAAAATGTCATTTCACATGTAGAGAGCAAACAAATGCATCGAGCACAGCACACTTGATTTTAATGTTTTAATTCCACTTACATGAAAAGCACATAACCAAATAACGTACTCAAAAGTGTTCTGAATCCTGCATCCCATCTTTTAAAAATCAAGATACTGTAATTAGAAGAAACTGGCACTACTCTGACTACTAAATGTCATAACACAGCTTTCTACCAAGTTACGTTGATAATCAGTTTACATTTAGCATTGTTTTAGTTTTTTCACAATGTACTTTCAAGAAAGGTAAATGTTACTGTAAACCACCTGGTTCAAGCTAAATCCTTAGCATAACCTGCCAGTTTCAAAGCACGGCTAACCCTCAAACCATACTCATGAGAACCACATACATTCCAGGAACCAAATCAGGAGTCAAAGGGAAGAAAATACACAAAGAAAACACAAAACACCTGAATAGAAAAAGAGTAGAAAGCCACAGACAAGCACATGGCGAAAGTATCCTCTGCACTGCTGAAAAGATAAAATATCAAAAGTTACAGTATCGAGCCATTTTGTCAAGTTGTTCACTTTATCTCAGGCCGTCTATACCTTGTCATGTGTTGTGGAAAATTGCAGGAAATTATAGTCAACACATTTCACTGAGAGTGAAAAGATGTCAGTTAAATGGAATGAAATCCTCAACAAAACCGTCAACCCAAGTTTTACCACAGTTTCCGTAAGTGGCCATTCATACAAAAAAAAAAAAAAAAAAAAAGCCTTTCCTACATCCAAATGCACACAGAACCCACTGAGCCGTGACACACGTACCACCCATAAAAACACTAGCTGCTACACTGGACGTGACAGGGCGGGATGGATACAAGCTATATAGTAACAGATCTTTACCAAAGTTAATTCTGCCATCTACAGGAGCAATGCCATTGTGATGAAGCCCACAGTTTAGACAATTCAGACCAATGTGACCAATTCATTTTTTACAGTTTACATGCTTCATTCAGGATTTTGTAGACCCAAGTGTCAAAGATTGTAAATGTTGAGTTCAAGTAAAAATGTATAAATTATCAAAATTAGAAGTTTTTTTGTTTGACTTTTTTGTTTGCTACAGTGAATAAGGTTAAAGAACATGGGGTTGGTTTGGACCTAAAAGGAGGGATTTAATCTGGACAAGAAACAAAATGAAAAAGAAACATCCACTGGTTGACACAATGAGTAATGTTGAAACGAAACCAAACAGATCTATTCCATTCTTTTCTCTGTGGAGGTGCTCATACAACACACACCCACCCACGCACGCACACGAATGTATCTGCACACACATACTGTACTTTACACATTGTGAGTTGAGTGTAAACATACATATCTGTATGTGCACACACAACTACACACACACACAACTTAGGCTGGTGAGAGGTAAAAAATGTGTGTTTTTCTTGTTTTTTTCCCCCGAGGTTCATTTCCTCTAAGCTACAGCCTCCGGCTCCGGCTCCGGCTCTTTTTCCTTTTCCTTTTCCTTTTCCGGCTTCTGTACCGGCTCCGGCTCCTGCTCCGGCTCATCTCCCTCACAGTCACCCTGGGCGTCTGACATCCACAGCTGAAACAAAGCAAAGGACACTAGGATTATTGCACACAAACTGGGAATCCCCAGAGGTTCGCTAACCTCTTTTACCTGTGACGAAAATAGTTTTAATGTCAGCTCCATGGGAAGAAATCAAGAATGTCTATTGGCCTATAGACAGACTTGGAGCTTTGATTAATCAATGTAGATACAGTCAATAACTTCCAAACACACAGAACGGGATATTTGTGTGATTTAAACAGCCGTCTATGCAGATTATGCTACACTAAACGCGACAAATATTATATTATACTGGGACATAAAGACGAGACACTCACTGTCAGATTGTCACGGAGCAGTTGCATGATCAAGGTGCTGTCTTTGTAGGACTCCTGGCTGAGGCTGTCCAGCATGGAAATGGCCTCATCGAAGGCCTGGAAAAGATGCACACAGCCATCAGGGCTTCCAAAAACAGATTGTACATTCACTGACATGAGATGGAATTAAGTAAATACTGTCGGGGGAAAAAGTGACAAATCCAATAATAGGTCCCAATACAAGATTTGGGTCATAAGAACATAAACTATGTTGGAGCACAGGTTTGAACTGTCAAAAGGTATCACAAAAGTGTCAAGAACTCGAATTAAAAAGACTATACATCAAAAACATAGTAAACTTTGAAGGACCAATTTACAGTATGTTGTATCCATGTGCAATTCAAGAAATAGTTTGAAATTTTCGGAAATGTACTCAATGGCTGTCTTGCTGAGATTTAGACTAAAAGCTTGACATCACTTTCATGTGTGCATGTTAGATATCCAAAGGTAACCAAATCCACCAATCAGTACCTCTGAAGCTTCATAGTTAACAATTAAAAAAGGCCAAGCATTATGTGGATACTTAAATAGAACAGATACATCCTTAATGGTATTAGTAGCTACGGTTGAAAAGGATTGGTAAATTTCCAAGTTATGCTCTGGAGTTTTGACAAATTTTGCACAGTTTAAATACAAAATAAGTAGTAACAATCAAAATTGTATCTAAATCGCAATAAGATACATTTTTTAATTGCAGGAGGCAAAATGTGTGTCAAAATATTTAAAGTGAAATGTTGTGGTGCAGAGGTGTCCTGACCTCCACATCATATTCTACAGACTGGGATAATCACAATTAGACCAATCTTTTAATATGAACTACACACCCAAAGCTATACTCGGTCTCACTCAGTTTAAAGTATGCCCATTTAACTGAATTGTAACCATGCACTTCACTCAGCAATGTACTCTTCCTTCACACATATACAGATCATTTACCAGCATCCCGTTAAATAGGATGTAACCAAAATAAAACAGTGCTGTGAGAAGAGGACAGTTGGTACCGTCTTGGCCAGCTGACAGGCTTTTTCAGGTGAGTTGACGATCTCGTAGTAGAAGACAGAGAAGTTGAGAGCGAGGCCCAAGCGGATGGGATGCGTGGCCGGCATTTCTTTGTTGCTGATATCCAAGGCATCCTGGTAGGCTTGTTGTGAATTCTTGATGATTTCTGCACATACAAAGACAGACCAATGAGGAAGCAGAGTTTTTATATGGGGAAAAAAGTACACTTCCCGGTGAGTATAATGTAAATATAACATTAAGGATACAAAAACATACATTCAACAGCCTGCCTACAGCGTTACTCCTATCAACGTGACATCAAAGCCTTGCTTGTGCCTGAACTGTCTAGTGGGGCTGCAGTTAGTGATTATTTTATCGGTTATTCATTCGGTCCATTCCCTAAACCCCAAGTCCATGTCATTTTTTTTGTTTTGCCCAACCAACAAAGTAAAGCCCAGTTATATTCAGTTAACTTTCAAAAAAAAAAAAAAAAAA